TTGGCTTCTTCCATTTTTGCTTGACTAGAGTATCTCTCATGACGTTGACATTGTCTCCACCTGGGAGCGGTAGCTGGAACCGAAATAGGACATACGGTCATGTGCTTTCGTCTACATATCCAGAGCGACCGCTAAAACCCTGCGATGGAGTTCTTTGACGTCATCCGAAAGTACAGCTGTCAAGCGGCGCATCATACTTCATAAACCGTTTCATTCTACCTTTCAAAAGCACGGCCGCTTGACCGGCGCATAGGTATATGTCACAGGCAAAAATAGTTTTTAGCATGGGCAGTGGAAGATCACATCTTAACGTGGCGAAAAATCCGTTAACACTTGGAGGCTTGTAGTGTTCGAGGTTGGAGCGGCCCGACCACGAGTGGCGAGTGGGCCAGGCCGGCCCGGCCGGTGGTTCGGAGCGGTCAGCTTCGCCGAACCCCCGCGAAGTTGGTGGCGGCTCTAAGAAGTCACCGGCCGTCGAGTCGCCAAAATCTTGGCGTATTGTTAGCCGACAGGACTCTCGCTCTCTAAGTGCGGCGGCGCTTTGATGGTCCGTGGTGTGGAGTTCGGGGAAGCAAGGCATCTGGGACCGGTGCCGCCGAGTTCGGCCGCGACTTTCGGGCCACCCCGTGCCAAGTTATCGCACGTTGACGCACACGAGTCCGCCGAGTTCTGGAATTGCTCGGTCGTGTGGCAAGCTGACATTCGGTTTCCCAGCAGTCGCGTCGCGTGACCTGTTGATGAGTGGCGGTCGTGCCGACGGCTCTCAGTTTCGCTCGGGTGAAGCAGATCGGGATGCCGGGGATTATGAGCTGGACACATTCGCAGTACATGGCAAAGTCTTCGTGGAGATGTCATTTTGATCGGCAGACAATGAGGCCCAAACTGAATGTTACATTTTCATGGAGCCTGCGTGGCTGAGAAGGTTTTGAAGACGGGAGAGGTCCGGATACGCAGTAGCTGCTGTGAAGATGCTGGGGCTCGAGTAGGAGATCTTTGCTGCAGCACGGTGGTGCCTGTGGTTAGCGCTGAAATGACACAGACGGTGAGTGTCAAAGACGGCCGCGAAGCTGAAGTGCGTCTGCTCATTAGTATTGTATGCTTACGTACTTGGTATACTTTCAGACAATTATGACGGCATCACATGCATTTGTCATGGAAAACTTGGACTATGTTCCCTCTTTCAATGGTCCAAGGCCGCCACAAAGACATTTTTGCCTTACACATGTAGAATGTTGTAGCTGTTGGCTCATTCCGTATCTCACGTTTTCTGCGACTTGTCTCTTCACGGTCTGATGCTTCTGCAAAGTGTTTACCTTAACACGGATCCGGAGGGACGCCATACCCACAAAATGATGTTTGCATTACGGCAGCGTTACCGTCTCTTGCGTCACCAAAATAATTTTTCAGCGCTTTAGTCCACAGTTTTTAAGTCTAGTCCGAAGAAAACCCGTGCGAGTGGAAATTTTTAAGTGCTGGGATGTGTAAGTGTTGAAAGAACTCCTGTTTTTTCTGTGTTAAAAATCTCCTGTGTTTCTCAACATCTACAAGAAGCCATGTTATTGGTTTTCCTCACTTCGATGTGAGAACTGAGAGCAGCCACCACCATGGGCAACGCGATTTTCGACGCATCCGTGAGAAGCTGTGGCGAGCGGTTCGTTCGGTGTAATGGGGAAACATATTGCCTTTCAGCCTATTTAGAATAAAAGACTGATTTCATGCTATGAGCTTTACGCAACGCGCATTACCAGTGCCCTCAGCGAGATTGATGTTTTTAGAAAATCAGACTTCCGAAAATATGAAAATATGTATTCATAATGATATTCAGGATAGGGGGATTACTGTATTTCTAAAGCACGCGTTCCTGTTGTGCTGGTAATTCGTCTTCAGTTATCCGATGCTCAGGATTAAACTACAGCATCGAAACGTTGCGCAGATATGATCTTTCCGGTCAGGAACAAATTATGTAAGACAGATCACATCCTGATTTTTTGTATCGCTCTATCATGCTTTCTCTGGACTAATGCCGCCCACCTCCACATTACTCCAGTTAGGCATCCTTAAAGAGGAACTTCCCTGACGTCATTCTACGCATTTGTGAGCGGTTTTGAACTGCAATAGCGATCTTGAAGATCATCCGGAACAGCTAACAGCCCTGCCCTGTCTAAGACCAAAGACAATCTGGTTTCTAAGCTAAACGGCGCGAAGATGTGCACACTATTTCGGGAAAGCATTTCAAGGCCATCTAGGCATTCATGACGCCATTACAACGTCATTCAAATCCTGCCATTCCATTACCCATGCGGCGATCAAGGCCGATGAAAATATAATTTTCGGGTCGTTATACCTGGCACTCGTGAGCACGATTTCCTTATATGACCTCCGTGAATTGGCTCTCAATCAATGTTGTGCGAGGCACGATGACATAATCAAACAATGATGTAATGAAGAGAATATTTACTGGACGGAGAAATTGCGTTGTCTAGGGCAACCTTTTCCGCCTTAAAGTAAACTAATGGTTATAAGTGAGCTTGCCTCATCACATCTTATGACTGCTTTAATATCTTCAAATGTGGAACATGCCCTTTAACCTTCTGAATGCATTTTGACGGGACGCATAGGCATGTGATGGCTGGCATATACATTTGTTATGACGAGAGATGCAAACCGTAGGTTGCGTTCTATACATGCATGGAATCACGCGTAATGCAGAAAAGGTCGACCTCAACCTTCACTTGTATGGGAAAACCACGTAGGCTGTATTGCAAAAACCACATGACATGCGTGGCTTTGTCATCGCATGGCGTCATAGCTCCAAGCACAGTTACTACGTGATGTATTGATCACTTTGCACCTTGCAGCTGAGCTTTTCGACATTAAAAGAGACATTAAAGGCTTGAATTACCTCAAACTGCCATTTGTTTTTGACAATATGGCAGAATGCTTTGGAGAGATTGAGGCCAAGCAGTCAGAGCGCTGGCGCACGACAGCTGGTCGCGAAGACCCAGACACTGCCACTCCAGCAGATTAAAGGGAGTGTTCCACATTTACATGGAGTTTGAACTGAAATAACCATCTTGAAGACCTTTCGGTGTTGTTCACAATCCTGTCTTTCTTAAGACATAAGCCCCTCTGGTTTTGGAGATACACGCCTGCGAAAATGAAGAAAGGTATATCGGGGAGAGTATTTCAAAGCCACTTTGGTATTCATGACGTCATAATAATGGCATTCACATCCTGCCATTCTGTAAGTCATGTGGCGATCAAGGCTAAAAACATCACTGTTAAGGTGTTTGTATATGGCGTTCGTGAGCGCGATTTCCAGATATGACACCCGTCAATTGGCTCTCAATCAATGTTGTGCAGGGTACGATGACATAATCAAACCATGACGTTTTGAGAACCACATTTACTAAACAGAGAATTGTGCTGTCTAGAGCAGTCTTTTCCACGTTGAAAGAATGCCAGTAGTTATATGTGAGCCTGTTCCATCATATCTGATGTTTGTACCAATATCCTCTAACGTGAAACACTCCCTTTAATTCCCGTTAAGCAAGCAGCATTGCCACGAGATGCTCACGTGCGCCGTGACGTCACGATGCAGCGCTCCCGCAGGGCTGCCCGGTTTGATGTCGTGTCGCCCGTTTGACCACATTTCGCCACAGGTGCTCTCGCAATGATCTGGGCGGTCGCACCCTGGCATCGGGCAAAGCCGTTAGCTGTCTGTTTAGAAACCTCACTGTCCTGTCGCTTTCAAAGACAACACAGTTTTCGTGATATGATATCGCACAAGCTTTCCGTCGTCTCAAGAGGATCATAAGGGTGTGATCTTCGGACTTCCTGACGCAAGACAACCTTGAGGTGTTCGGGCTGTCCCAGCTTCCTTTTCTATGACTGACATTGAATATTTTCATTCAGGCTTCAACTGTTGAACGATGAACGTTTGCAACCGTTCCAGTGGTCGGTTCGAAATATTAATGATATAATGATATAATAAA